CATCTTCAGCATGAGGAGCCACAGTTTCCTCCAGTGTTGGTGGCAGCTGTGGACACTCCAGATGTTTTTTAAATTCTGCAAAATTAATAATCAAGAAATTATTATTATTTTTTTTAATTTATGGCATTTTAACTGTGTTTTATAAATACTGCACTAAATTCCTCCAAGGCTCTGAAGCAAACAGAAGTTCTGAGCTTAAAAGAATTGCCAACTTTTCCAACAGTCCTTGAACTAATCGTGGGACTTTTTGGTTCGTCTGGGAAAACAAAGTCATCGAAGATTAAAATTGTGATATCGTTGCGTATGTCTCATTCAAAAAATCAGTCAAAAACAAACAAGATTCTGTAAAATAAAAATAAAAAACTGCACCATGAGGCAGCACATCTATATCTAATATTCACCAGAACCTGAAACTGTAGAAGAAAACTTTTTAGCAGCCTTTGAACTAATCACGAGACGCTTGGTTCTGTCGGGAAAATTTTGAATATTTCATCAAAATTCCTTTTCTACACGTTTAAAAATTTGTGAAAAACAAACCATCAGCAGGAACCAGATTCTATAAAAACTGTAAAATTCTGTGTTCCTCGTTGCTGCCGTGAAGCTGCGACCGGTTCAGCTGCTACCAACAGAAACGTGGCAAAAATTCAGAGACTTTTGAGCTGAACGAGGCTTTGTTTGCACAGAACCGATAAGTTTAGAACTACATTAGTTAGATATCTAAAGTTCGTCGAGTCAACCTTGTTGCTGGAGCTGCTGGAGTTCAGAAGGTTAACATGAACTGAGTTTCTTATTCAGCAGCTTCATCTGGCTCTCTGAGGAGCTGAGATGAGATAAAGTGAAGCAGCAGAATGAAAACCTTCCCGTGTGTCTCTGGAGCTCACCTCTCCAGCTCAGTGCACCACAGGATGTCCTCCTTCCCGTTCATCAGGACGGGAAAGTGCTGGTCCTTCCCCTGCTTGATGGAGTTGGCGCGAGTGGTGATGGTGCGCACCTTCCCAAACTGCGAGACAAACAAATGCACCGTCAGACGAGTGCAACCAAACCACCAAAACGAAGGCGAGAACGTGACTGTTGCACCGACCTTTGCGACTCTGCCGTGCTCCAGACAGTCCTGCAGCTCCAGCTTGTCCATCCCCGAAGCACACAGGGGCCTGAAACAAGCAGTGTTTAGTCCTTCACACCCTTCAGATCTGCCAGGAGTTACCACACAGAGTACAGAGTCGGCTTGTTGTGCAGGTTCCAGTGCAGACATAAGATGCTGGCGTGTTTGTCAGGTGCTGGCCTACCTGTTCATGCCCGGCAGGTTCCCCCAGAAGTACCGGGCCCGGTGAGCAGCAGAAACCTCGATGGCGTCGATCATCACAGGGTTGCACTGCGAGAACAACCGCCGTCATCACTCATAAGCTCACACATACGCAGCATCCACAGTCATGCTCATTGGTTTTCATGTTCAGTCTCTCATTCACGCGTTCAGGTGTTTAAATGTTTATTCAGTTGAGTCTAAAATATGCTGAAATCTGAACCAAAACCCGTTTTAGGTTTGTCTAGCCGACAACCTGCATCCCTGCGACTCACCTCCAGGAAGCGTGAGATGTCCCGCTTGTCGCTGACGCCCATGGCCACCACGTTCTCGAACATCCAGAAGAACGGCCGGTCCTCTCCTTCCTTGGGCTTGGCTTCGCTCAGCAGCCGGTAAAACTCAAAGAACAGCCGCCCTGTGCCTTCTGGAGCAACGAGACGCCGGCAGAGGCCGAGAAGATCACATTAGTTAAAACTGAAATGGACGGAAATCTGGAAACCAGCTGAACCGAGAATCAACGTTCATTTGTGGATCGATGTCGGTGTGTGTACGATCTGATCTGGGTGAAAAGACCTGCGATTGGCTAACGTCAGGGTGCAGAGGTCGAGTTTCTAGTCAGATCTCTTGAACTACAACATCACTAAAGGTTAGTATGACATTTTTTAACCATTAACGTCCTACCTCAGCTGTAAGAGCTCAGTATCGAGTCCATACATCAGTGGTTGGTTCAGATACAAAGACTTTTTAAGAGCCCACGTTCTGCACATTTATGGGTTTCTAGTTTTATTCTTGGGGTCTAGATCGCTGCTCTGATTGGTCAGCTGGCCTTAGCAGCTCCAGATCTCTGAGCATTAAGGTCAGAACTAGTGATTATTTCCATTGACCGTTAGTCTGTCGGGTATTTTCTCGATTAATCGATTAGTTTGGTCAAAAAAACGTCAGTCAGTGACCCTTTGGTGCAACAAAAGTTAAAGCAGAGCGACTTTATATGTTGTATTATCGATATAAAATGTCAGAAACAGCCTCTAAGTCATAATTAGCTCATAATAATCACATTATGTGACAGCTACGTGATTAAATCCATCCTGTGAAGAACTCGGTCGGCTATAAAACTGGACCTGTTCTGCCGGTTCCTACCATAGAGGCCTTTTCTCGCCGGGTTGACGATGGACAGGTCATTGCAGGGACTTCCTCCGATCACCAGGTCGAACGGACCCCACTCCTGGATCTGAGAGACAACAGCACCGCCTTGTGTTAGACGGAGGAACAACAGCTGCTGCCGTCTGGATTTCAGCCTCCACAGTCATCCGGTACTTTCTGTTTCAATCAAACGTTCTACGTTCTCCTCTGTCCTCTGATCTATGATGATGTTCTGTGTTCAGTGGTTTGAAGGCGTTCTGTAGTGATCAGCAGACAGATAGAACTTGTTAAAGCCCAACCTAATGTTCTCCAAAAACCAAAAGATATTCAGTTTAAAATCTTAAAAACTACGAAAAAAAGCCTAAATATTCACATTTAATAAGTTTGAACAGTGACTTCTGGTCATTTTAACTAAAATTATAAATACCAGTATGTTGTTTTGTTATTATTTTGTTTGTGAATTGATTAGCTGGTGACTGTTTGAGTTTTTATTGGCTCTGAAATTAATTTCCTAAACAATCAAATATAAATTATTCTGATCGACATAGAAAGAAACCAGAACAGATCCACTTTAAGAAGCAGAAAGCAGAAAGTTTAGACTTTCTTTGTTCACTCAAACTGATCATTTGATTAATTTAATAGTTAGATAATCGATTAACTGCCACGGCTTTTATTCTGACTAATTCTAGGACACGAGGTTTTCAGCATCAGAGAGGAAAATAATCAGGGATTTATTTATCTGCAGAAAACGAGAAGTGACGACAAAAACAAGAACAGAGGTGAAGCTGCAACTTGATTCATTTTAATGGGTCTGATTTTTAATGATTAATTGAAGGTTTTGTTTAACGGTGTGTGTTTCAGTGCAGAACATTTCCTGAAACATCTGGACGGCGGCTTCGCTTCTGGACATAACGAACGTCGTCTCGGTTCGTCCTGTAATCAGTAAAGTCAGTTTTAATGTGCAGCTGATGTCGGTAAAGACGAGACGAGGAGCAAAGAAACCAGGAAATATTCACATTTAAGACGTTTAGATGCTAAACGTGACTTTCTAAAGTCTTTTCCTGACAGTCGGGATGTGGAGGCCGGCGGCTCTTATTAATCTCTTATGAAGTGTTTGAAGCTCTGAACACAAACACAGCGTGACCGACGAGTCAAAGGCGTCCTGCAGCGACTTACAGGAGCTGAACCGAGTCTTTGTGCTCGACTCGGAGCGTCGCCGCTGGATGTGTGGTCTGAGCTTCAGGACGCTTCTGGATGTAAAAACACGACGCGTCCACGCTGATGTTCTT